AATTGTAATCTACTGACTCAAGATCGCTACAGTAAGCATTGGCGTCAATCTAACGGCTAATTGAGGGGGACCATATTCATACAATATATTCTCAGTATAAGCTAGGCTGGTATAACAGAATATATGAACACAGAACGCACTGAACGCAGGTTGAGAAACACGAGTTACTTAGCCGAATTTTATTTACTGCAGAACTGTTTCGTATGACAAGCGTTAAGCTTGCCACACTCATCAGGTAAATATATATATAATATAATATTATTACAACAGCACAACGACTATATACAAGAGACGCATAATTAATTAGGTCATGTTACCTGTAATTGCTTACTAGGTGTTACTTAGAAAAATCTTCTTTCGATGACAGCATGTGAAAACAAGTTCATTGCGCTTGTTCAAAGAGTAATTCCGGATGACATATATGATTAATAAAAATACAGGGTGTATAAAAAAAAGTAGACAATTGTTAAAATGTCCATAAACTGAAAATTTCGCAAAATGTCTAAAGAACGTGTGTTGATATAGGTATTTTAGGGTCTCTTGACCACTTTAACACTCGAATTAATTAGAAAAAAATTATATCGACGTGTAGGAATGATGATTTCAAACACCACCTAAAACAACCCTACATTAAATCCGCCGGGCGGCCTCTCGAACTTGAACTTTTTTGCTATTTTTGGCCTTTCCCACATACTTTTCGTTTCACGCGGTAATAATTCATGCATTATTGATATTTTACATTAATCATGCGTGAAATCATTTGTGAGCTGCAAAAAGTATGTGGGAAAGGCCAAAAATAGCAAAAAAGTCCAAGTTCGAGAGGCCGCCCGGCGGATTTAGTGTACACCAAATTGTCTGGAACTTTGATAGTTTATAAAACATTACCCAAACTTTCAACCTATGATAGTGAATTAAGATTTAAACCGTCCCTTTTTGTGCGCGAGGGTTGTTTTAGGTGGTGTTTGAAATCATCATTCCTACACGTCGATATAATTTTTTTTATTTAATTTGAGTGTTAAGTGGTCAAGAGACCCTAAAATACCTATATCAACACACGTTCTTTAGACATTTTGCGAAATTTTCAGTTTAATGGACATTTTAACAATGGTCTACTTTTTTTTATACACCCTGTAGATTTCTCAGATAGGCATAAATTACATCGTTTAGTTTTATTACAACACGGTTGTGATTTTTTAATGATCGCTTGCTAGATTATAGCTTTTGTTAAGGCTATCCATTAAGGCTTTTCCATTACCGTCGGCTTCACCCGCGCGGGTGAATGAGTTCAGGGAATGTTACTCTGTTTCGACGTTCACATGTAGTTCACATGTGATCCACACAAACTACTAATACCTATGATGCACAGAAAATGCATAAAATAAATCACTCATACACAGTATGATCAGTGGCGTAGCCGGCCCGGCATTTATTCATGCTATGCTAATATTTTGGTGTTCATTAACTGTGAAAACAATGAATTTCTAAAAAAATGAATAATGATAATGACATAAAATTTGCATAGCATGACTAAATCGGCAGGCTGGCTATGCCACTGAGTATGATTACAAGGTGAAGCAAATTTTAAAAACTTAATTATTAAACATTTTTAGGTAGCCGGATACCAAAATAAAATTGTTTTCTTTTGAGAAATATAAAAATCTTTTCATGCTATATTGCAAGCCAAGTTGCTCTGTGTGAAAAAGACTTGTAGGAATCTTCAATCACTATAGTTACCAAGACCAGACACACCTAATTGGCTAATAGTGGATAGTTTACGATTTTGTAAACAAGATAACAAACTATAGGTTTTAACTATATGGTTAAAACTATATGGTTTTATTCAGTTCTAAAAAATTTTGCCTCGGAGCTGCATGAACTAGAATAAATAAAATTTGTCCAGTATTAAACTTTTCCAGAGCTATAAATATAAAATTTCTCCGATCGATCTGAAATAGCCAGTCGCTATTTTACTTAGACTGAACGTAATAGATAACTTTCACCGTAGCACGAGAACGAACGAATAGCTTCATTAATATCATAAGAAGTTGGCTTTTGTTATGTGATCAAATCAAAGTAAGCACAGCTGTTAAAGCATGGACATCAGTATACATATCGCCAATTTATAAACACGTGCTTTTTTTCGAAAACAAGTAAAGAATCCGGCGTCATTAAACTAGCCTATTGCTAGAAGTTCTAAAACCCTGTAGCACTGGGCTAAGTGCTAGAATGCGTGAAAAATGACAGCAAAGATTAAAAGTATTGAATTTTGGTGAAAATATAACATGTGTATAATTTAGCTTTTTCTTACAAGCAACAATTTTACCCTTTTACAATGTTTGTATCTAAGAAAGGCAACCTTTTTTTTATGAACACCACTTTGTCTTTGCTTAATAACACAAATATATATATATATACACCCGTTTCACCTGTTCTAAAACGCTATCTAACGTTAATTCTAAAATTTAGAAATGCGCTTTGAAGCGTCACCAAATTATATTCTGTGCATGCTAGGCTGAATTCAAAATGGCTGATTGTAGTTAATAACATCCGGTGCGAGAGAATTGCCTGAACTGGTGCACTGTTAGGATTTATGATTGGGAAAAACATGGCACCTAAAAAGTCCGGAGGACGTATAATGCGAAAGCGTTTTAAAGCTTGCAAAATTAAAGTTGTTTCTGTGTCTACATCGGGGAATAAAAGAACTCGTAGTGTTGACCTCCATGGATCAACTTCCGAGGTAAAATTGCAAAATTCCGAAGTCGAGGAGATTGTAGATACACCGATGACTTGCCCGAGCACCACGACTGGTTTGCTAGAAAGTGATGGTGAGGACGCGAGTCAGTCGAATACAAATATGCCCTCAAAGCATCAAAAAAGAAGAACGAGAGAGTTCGAGGAATGGGAAAAGATCAGGGAAAGGCTTCTGAGTAGCCGTTATGAGGTGGATTTCTTTGTAGAGGGCATAATTTGTTGTCAGTGCGATTCACCTGCTGACGTTCGCTGTAAGGATTGTGGGCACGACGTGCACTATTGTTATAACTGTGCCAAAGCAAGTCATGGTGGACGAAATTATTTCCATGTCCTTGAAATGTTTAAGGTAGCGATATATATATATATATATATATATATATATATATATATATATATATTTATATATATATATATATATATATATATATATTATATTGATTTCGAAGTTTCCTGTTTTGTTATCAGCTGTACAGCCATGTTTTGCTTGGGATATTTATCAATTTAATTTCAATTTTTAATTAAAATATAGGCTGGTTGTTTTGTACCGTTGTTTCCTAATCATATTGTGATGAGCTCAAGCCATCAAAGAAACTGCCCGACTTCCATTGCTAGAAATATTGTGTGTATTGATGAGTATGGTTAGTTTATATGATAATGGATAATTGGAACAGCTTTCATTGATCATTAGCACAATTTAAATTGTGATATTACTAAGAATATAGGTACAATACATAATTATAATAAATATATGTAAGTGTTTGGTTGGGGTAAACCAGATAGGTTATGTATAATATGTGTATAATGGTTTTTTAATATTTGATACAGCTACAGGTATATATGCCCCAGGTTAATTGTTACCAGTGTCATTGAAGGATTTAAGCCTTGCAGATCAATCTGAGATTTTCCCCTAATCCCTCTGTAGGGTGGCGTCAATGTCTAGCACAAAAAACAATGGAACAGTCATCGTGAATCTGTAAATCAGTGTACTTTTATTAACAAACCAAAGCAAAACTATTGCATGTACACCCAATGACCCAAAAACTGGAATTGGAACGAGTTAATGCAGTCATAACCAACTGAGTAATGAAAGCCTTCGTACTGTATTTACAAAAACCCTTGATGTTTTAAGCATTCTCTGATTGTAATGTCAAAATCAGGTGGCATTGTTATTTTGGCACCATAATTGAGTTCAAGAGCTTTTCGAAGTCTCAGTGTTCCAAGATTTTCTTGATCTTTGCTGATCACGTTCAAGGCTACTATGAATGTTTTGTCCTGTTCGACAAGTAATTTGTAGCACAGTTCTTGTTCCGTCTTGTCCTTGTCAAGCCAGATAATGTATATATTCATAAGGGGCTTTCCTTTAAGTGGCGAAAATGTCAGACCGGTCAAATTTTGAATTGAAATAGAGTGTTTCCTTATGAATATAACAGTAAAACAGCAATTTGCGCGCTAGGCAGATGAACATGACGATACACTTAAACGTAACGATACACGTAAACGCAGAGTTCTTGAAATACTAGAAATATCCGCTCAGTATAGAAATTCAATAGGACCGGTCTGGCCGTAATATAAAGAAAAGCGCGTTCAAATAAGCGTAAAAGCAAGCGATATCTATTAAAAGAAATATCCTGATTCTATCTTTGCAGGTGTGAATGTGGGTTTGAAAAGTACAAACTATTGCAAACCCACATTCAAACAACAACGAACAAGATGCCGGGCCATTAACGTGAACGAAAGCAGCGCGATAATTGGGACGAATATTCATATATTCTGTTCTACTGTACCTGGCGGTTTTATTTCGAAAACAAATGAAAGTACAAAAAAATTCCGTCGGTCAGAACGAATATGTGAATATGTACCGCTCCACTAATTATTGCATCAAGTTTCAACCCATCAACGAGCATTAAAAGAGGTTTGAGATACTAAAAAATGCTTACTGTATTTTTTGTTGAAGAGTTTTGCAACATCATCAACTTTGAAATTAACTCTGTGTGGAGTGTCTAAAGAAAAGAATAACAAAAGTATTAGTACAGTTTTTGACAATTAGTTAATTGATCAGAAGTTTTATTTGCTAAAAAACACCTTATTATTCATAATTTACAACCAAATATTAATATTGAAATTGATATTAATACCGACCACTAAATATTCAAAGTAACACCTGTAGGTACATAACTTAATTTAAGATTGCATGAAGACTTACCAACATACTCCCCAAATTTCAAAGCATAAGGTTAGGTGTAAAATACATGATTACACCTAACCTCCATCAAGTTCATATTCTATGACAAGAACAGTTATTAACTGGACAATAACAATGCCAATTCAATTTCATAAACCAAATTAACAATTCTAAAATATTCATGCTTGGAGCTTTGGAAGACTAGGTCTCAACACATTGTCATCTTCACAAACAATAGTATAGGTGTATACCTGGGAGATAAGTTGTTTTCTCGCTTTTTTGATTCTCTGATTACACTCCTTTTCAGATAATTCACTAACAACAACCTTTTGTAGCTCTTTTGCTTTTTCAATCCACTTACTTCGTTCCTCAGAGGTGAGTGAGTTCCATGTACTAACAGTGAGTTTTAATTTTTCAGAGTTTGTAAGCTGTTTGCATTCATCTGCAAATTATAAAACATATAATTATACTATAGCACCATTCATATAAAATATTTGTAGCACCATATAAGATACTGCAATTTAGTCCATTGTCCTTACACACCAACACAATTGAGACATGCTCTATTCTTCATTCATGCTTTATGATACAAGGTCCCCTCTATAAATCCCCTCTCAGCACAAGCCAAAAAGGCCCTGAAATAGATGGGATTGATAAGTTCAATAAGTTTTCATAATTCCATTATAAATTTGATCAGAGAACATAGTACAATTTGGCTTATTTGAAAGGGGGCTTATTAAATGAGAGATTATTATGAACCTAACCTGAGGTAAGCATGCTCGAGCAAAAAAGGTTGTATGCTGTGGTCCCACGCTTTACAGGACACTTTCTTGTTGCCAAGCCAGAGGTCTCACCAGGTGCATCTGTCCCAATAGCAGATGAGGCTTTTCGTTTCTGCCTTTCGTTTCCAATCCATTTCTACAAACGATTACAGTAACGTTTTTCAAAAATAATTAAGGTTCTAAGGGTTTTAATTTCGAGTGGAGTCATAAACAAGAATGAATGATGAATTGGTCTTCAGAATGAATCGAAGTTATCGAACCTACGTTTTTGCGAATTGCGATGCCCGTGCAAATGTACAATGCTCATGCCACAGAGCTATAGATGTAGCTAACAATAGCAAGTGTAGTTAGTGCGTATTTACAGATATACAATATTCATAACGCGTTTATTTCAAAACTTGCGTCAATATGCAAATTAACACGCCATCTAAACTTCAAAGACAAAAATAAATACCTTCACTCGTTCTACAGTTACGTTAGCTTTATCAGAAGCCTCCACTATAGTTCTCTGCATGTTACTAGCTGTTGAATTCATGCCTTTATCGAAGAAGTCACAAAGAATCTTCCTCTGCGCTTCGCTTATCACTTCGTACGTTCTTCGACGATCAGCCATTTTGAATATATCAAACCTCAATCATCCCTAGCCCAGCATGCACAGAATATAATTTGGTGACGCTTCAAAGCGCATTTCTAAATTTTAGAATTAACGTTAGATAGCGTTTTAGAACAGGTGAAACGGGTGTATATATATAGGGAATATGGAATATATGAGGTTTTTAATCGTATCCTAACAGCACAATTGTCCACAGGGTCATTGTTATTGAATAAATAAAGTATAGGGTTCGCAAACAATAGGGGTTTTATTTATGTATATTCAGATTCTATCAACAGGATTTTTTGTGCGCTTTTTTGGGGTATTACAAACAAACAACTTTGGTAAATTACTAAAGATGGCAAATGAAATGCAAGTTCTGAATATAGCCCTAATACATTAGAATAATGTTGTTATGTGTTTAACATCAGTATATTTGCCGACTCTTCAAGCAGCAGCGCAAGAGGAATACGACGTGATTAGGAATAACGAGTCAATCCAACGAGTCAATCCAATCACTTCTTCGTTCTTTCACTAAATCTTTCTCGGTCGCTTAACGATTTACTGGCACTGGCAGCTACATGCGGGCATATACATATACCCAGACCGCGAGTGGAACATACACTGCACCCCAACTTTGTCCATTTTAATTTCCGTGGGAGAAACTTTTTCGAAGAGTTGGAAACTTGCGAGCATTTATTTTGGAGCTTGTCTGGAGAAAGCATCGAATCCTTTCGACGAATAGTTAATGATGTGACACCACATTTACAAATGTTCACCCGTCGTCTGAGACTAAGGATTCGTGACAACCCCTTTTCACTTGATATTCGAAATCGGATACTCATGTTTATCATCTGGCTTCGAATGTATCCTGAACTTGTCATGCTTAGCGGATTGTTCATGGTTAGTCCAGTGACGGTTGAAAGAGAGATAAGATTTTTACTTCCTGTTTTGTGGAGTTACTTTAAAAGTTTTGTAAAATGGCGTACGGAAGAAGAATAGTTGGCCATAGCAAATGACTGGGAAATGTTTCCAGGTGCTGTAGCAGTCATTGATGGAACTCGTCATCAAATACAATGACCACAAACTGAGCCTCAGCAGGATTTTTACAATGGACACTCTAGATACCATAACTTTTCCACTCAAATTATCATGGACAACAAAGCCAATATTGTCTTTATTCAAACGCGGTTCTTGGGTCATAACAACGACAGTGGCCAACTTAACATGATGCCTTCCATAGGAACTGGTCAAAATCTTCATTTGCCTGCTGGTGTTTACATTTTAGATGACAAAAGATATCCCGGCATTTATCCTTTTCTCACGCCCTATAGACAGGTTGGTGGTAATTTGAGGAAACAATTGTTCAACAGAGAGTTTTCAAAATGTCGAATACGCATCGAACATTGCATCAGAAGAGTTAAAGAATACGGAGCCGTACACCATATTTGGTGTCATGAGCGTTGGATGTTTCAAATTGTCAATGAACTTTGTGCTTTTTTGGCCCAAAGACATATTGAACTCTCGCAAAACTTTTAATACCCTTACTGCAATACATTAGTTTACAGAATAGGTCACAACTGAATTAACGTTAAATAATTTCTTGATTTGACATATTTAAGTTGTCATTATTGTCATCATACATTTTGCATGTTAAAATGCAACAAGACGCCGTTCTGGCGTTAACTCCGGCGCACGTGCCAGTCTTCAATATAGAGCTTCTGAACATAAACTATACAGTTCGCGTATTGTTTCGCATACATATTCGCATTTGATGCCTTGCGAACCTAAGTGTTCGATCGCGAAATTCAGAAGCACATCGCAGTATAGAAGTTCAATTGTTCAAAAACGTAAATAAACCGCATGATACATTCGCTTCGTCTTACACTTTGCCTTTGGAATTTAAAAATTCAACGAGGCTTACCTGTAAGGTGAAGTTGGATTTGAATTCTGCAAGTCATCAGCCAGGGAGTGAAGGAGTTGTACGGAATTGATACGAGATAGTGCCGACTACTCGCCGAGAACCAAATTTCATAGCTGAGTTTTTTGCTACATGCGTGGAGTGAAGAGTAAAGGGCGGGGAATTTTCTATATTGGTATCCTCTCTGAAATCTATTGATGCTTTACGGGAGGGCGTACAACTCCTTCACTCCCTGGCTGATGACTTGCAGAATTCAAATCCAACTTCACCTTACAGGTAAGCCTCGTTGAATTTTTAAATTCTACTACGTCATCAGCCTACGGTCGTTACGGAGTTGTACGGAATTGATACGAGATTTCAAAGCTGGCAGGGAGCAAAAAACACGGTACAAAGGTAATAAATCGTTGTGTAGGGTTTTACAAACATTTATTGAATTATAGGCTATTTAGTAATGCCGAACCAAAATTAAACGAAGATTTCTCAGTTTCCTTGTGATAGAAAGTCTGAAATGTACGTTCATTGGACCAGCCGACTGCCTTAAGGATGGACGGGACATCAACCGTATTGGATGCCAGATGCGAAGTTGACGCAGCTCTGGTGCTGTGTGCTGTAAATTTGTTTGTGTCAACACCAGCAGTCTTCAAGAATTCCTTGCACCAACGGCCGATAGTTTCTGACGATACGGCAGCGTGAGGTTTTTGGAGTCCGATTAGTAACTGTTTGCAGTTCTCCTGGCGTTTCTTTTCTGTCCGTTCTAGATAATGTTTAATGTGATGCACGACACATAGCTTTTTGTCATGCTGATAACTGCAAAACTCAATAGGGGGTACATGTGTCCCTGGTCGGGTCTGTTTTACCTTACTACGAATATAAAAAATACATTTATCAGATGTCATACTTAAATTCTCAATTGACAACAGTTGAATGGTCTGACATCTTTGTCCACTTAGTATAAGTAAGAGGAAAGTTAGTTGGTGAGTGAGTTCCTTTAGTGTCATCATGGAAATATCCGGTTGGTTTCGAACAAAATTAAAAACTGTACTAATATCCCATATATCTGAATATTTTGGCAGGCTCGGCTTTAACTCAAAAACACCCTTCATAAAGCGTTTGACTAAGGTCTGTTGCCCAAATGGTGGGTCGATGTGGAACAGAGACGACAATGCACTTCTTGCCGTGTTTATGGAGCTGTAAGAATAACCTGAGTCGAAGAGGCTAGCAAGAAAATCAACGCCTGTGGTCACTGGTGCTGTCAGAAAATCACATTCCTTTGTTAAACAAAACTTTTTCCACTTTGAGAAATAGGTCTGGTATTGGGTTCTTGTACCCTCTCTCCAAGATGCCATAATGACTTTAACAGCTGAGTCGGATACCCCTAGGGACACTATCTGGTTCCTGACACACGACATATCAGTAGCTCGAGCTTTCGATGCATTGGATGGATCTCCTCCGGCATCGCTGGGGGTGTTAGCATCTGTTTGGAGGGCCGCACAGTCCTTGGGGGTTGAACGAGAAGTTGATTCAGAAGGGGAAACCATGATTGTGTCGCCCAGTTCGGAACGACTAAAATTCCTTCCGCTCTGTCCTGGATTATCTTCTGTACCACCTGGAGAATACAACTGAAAGGTGGAAAGGCATATATTTTTAGGCCATTCCATGATATTGTAAATGCATCAATGATTGATGCACCTGGGTCATGTCTAAATGAGCAGTACTTTGGGCATTGATTGTTCAGTCTAGATGCGAAAAGATCAATTTCGGGCTTGAAATTCAGGGCAATTAAAGCGTCCTGTAAAATACGGGGGTTTAACCTCCATTCTGAATCTCTATAGACACGTCTCGATTCCTGATCTGCAGCTACATTAAGGGCACCGGGTACATGTGCTGCAGTAAGCCAGATTCTTGACTTAATGCAGAACTCCCATATTTCAACAACTACAGAATTACCTAATTCTGTGTGACTTGAACCCATATTGTTAATCATAAAGACAGCAGCACTGTTGTCTATCATTATCTTAACATGTTTTTGACAACACTCGGTACTACATGATTTCAAGGCAAATAGTGCCGCCTTCAATTCAAGCACATTAATATGAGTATTTGATTCTAGTGTGTCCTAGTTTCCACCTGTTCTTAAGGACTCAAAGGCGGCCCCCCAGCCCTTCAGGGATGCATCCGAGTATACCACTACATCTATAGGGGGTTTGATAATATCACCAAAGCAATCCTCTACATTATCTAGCCACCATGTCAGCTCATGTCGGCCTTCTGCTGAAATACTCATCAAGGAGTCAAAGTTGCCCTGATTTCTTTTCAAGGCGTTTGTTTTATCCATATCTAATTTACGGTAGTATAATGCACCGTATCTGGTAGCTGGTAGGCTAGCTACCATGTGACCAATTATTTTAGCAACTGACCGTATCTTTATGGAGTCTGCTGAGTCTAAAGCTGATATTATAAGGTCTCTCAGGTTTTTGACCTTCTCATCTGTCAGTGTAACTCTCATAGTCTTAGAGTTGATGACAAAGCCTAAGAAAGTTAATGTCTGGCATGGGGTTAGTACGGATTTATCCGGATGTATGACAAACCCCAATTCTTCAAGGAGCCTAACAGTTTTGATTACTGTGTTCACACACTCGGAAAAGGATTTGCCTTGTAAATATAGATCGTCTATGTATGCAATTATAATGTGACTGTCTACCCTCAGCTTAGCCAGTGGTGGTTTAAGAAGTTTTGTGAATTTCCTGGGACAGGTGGATAAGCCATTCGGAAAGACAGTGAACTGGTAGAGGTTACCGGCAAAACAGAATTTTAGAAATTTTTGACAACCTGGGTCTATTTTTACACTGTAATATGCGTCCTTCAGATCTAAAGATGCCATCCAGCAATCTTTGGTAACTAGCTTGAGTACCGTGTGGATGTTATCCATTTTAAAATGCGCATTGGATACCGATGTATTAAATTTTTTCAGATTTAATACGAGACGTACCTTGCCGGTTGTCTTAAGCACTGAAAATACTGGTGATATGAATTCTCCAGCTTCATGTTTACTAGGTACAATGACCCGCTTCTCAATGAGCGTTTGAATTTCGTGTTCCACCAAGCTTGCATGGTCTTTGCAAATAGAGTTATGTGGATACGCCATTTGTATAGGTGGTGTGTCCACAAAGTCAATGACCGCGCCCTTTACTGTTTGTAATATCTCTCTATCTGATGTTAGT